CGCGCCTGCATCTCGTGCTCTTTCTCTGGCGGACACACAGGCGCTCACGAGTCGCTCAGTGCCAGCCCCCAGGGCAGCGACCCCCACCACCCAGTCCCGGGGCCCGCCCTTGGCTAGCTGCTGCCTCTCTCCAGACGCCTCCTTTGCGGCCTGGGTCACAGCCACCTGGACCCAACCCTTCGACCACTGCTGCTACAGTCGGGACGTGGAAACAGCCAGAGGCGCCCGACCAACACACACTGACGGTAAGGACACCCTCCTACCGCTAAGGGCACGGCTTAGGTGGAGTGGGGCTCACCGTTGGGCACCCTGGAGCCTGGGGACCTGGGAAGGGAGCGGAATTGATGGATGGGTCCAGGGAAGGACTCAGGCTGTGTCCGGGGGTGAAGGGAGCACCTTCCAAAGCCCTGGATGGGAGAAGCTGGACTAGGCGGGCGACCCTCCCGGCTCCTCGTCCTGCACCTGTACACAGTCGGAGGGAGGGGGTGCGAGAGGCGGCGTGTAACGGGAAGCACATGGGTCGAAACGTGCCGCCATCCTTCCTTCTCGTCGTGAAAACTGCCCACAGCAACCCCGAGAGACCAGTCCTTTCCCAGTCAAGTCAGGTTGGCTGAAGGGTGGGGTCTGACCAGGGCAAATCAGAAAGTTGGGAGGGTCGGGACGGAGCGAGGCGCTTCGGAGGTTCTAGGTGAGTTAGAAGCCGATCCTCGTGCGGGTGGGCGGTGGGGCGGGGAGAGGAGCCAACCTCATTCCTCATTCGCTTCTGGTTGCTTTTGCAACTGCTTAAGGAGACTACCGAAGGCGGTGTGTTTTCACGTGACCCCAGTTCCCTTTTGCCTGAGGCATCCTGCGATAAATGGTCCTAAAGTGGGCCATTCTCCCGCACAAGGCACGTGGCTCCGGAAGAAAGCACAGCTTGTGTGTTCCTGCGCACCCAGGAATTTGAGAGTGTGGCGGTGAGGGTGCTGGTGCTGGGATTTCAAGGAGGATGGTAGGAATTAGAAACCCAGACCTTCTACGTTTCGTTAACTCTACCGTCTATGCGCGGCCTGGGCAGAGGACGGTTTTGAGAATAGGATAGACTTTAAGTCGTAAGGCGCAGACATACCAGCCTTGTAAACATGAATGGATCAAAAACGCCCGAGCCGTCCCGGGGACAGGTATGACCCTGCCGGGCGCAGAGGCCGCAGGGGCGGGAATTCTTTTCCGTTAGGCAGAGAAGCGGAGTTTGCCGCGCGTTCGCGGAGAGCTCGCGCTCCGTGGTGCCGAGCTCTCCTCTCCCCCTTCCATTCTCTTCCCTCGCAGGGAAATAGTGGAGTAAGACGGGGCGGGGTCCGCACTCGGGCGTGGTGACGTCAGCAGTGTTTGGGTGCTTATGCAAATGAGACTGCGACCGTTTCTCCCAGTTGGGCCGTTTCCCTCCAGGTCTTAAAGGTAGATCTAGTCTTAGTGTGCACCGTTTGTTTGGTTTCCTGCCCAGAAACACCGGAGGACTGAAGGGTTTACGTACTGTGCTGCATTTGGGCTCCTCATCGTCCAGTTTTTAAAGCTGTTCTATACCTGTCCTTTCCTGGTTGCTTTCCCGGACCACAAGGAACAATGTGTTTGCTTTAGGAAATATTCTCTGACAAACAACCCCATGGAGAGCTTGTTACCCCACCCAGTCTCATTTTTGCAAGAACGGCTCTGAGATACACACTTGCTTTTATCTTCCATACCCAGTATTGGGTTTGACAGTAGTAGGTATTTAATACTTGATTGTGAACCAAAGCGTGTGTGTATTTATCTCATTAAATTCATAGTATTCAACCATCAGAATCGCCTGTTTTATTTTTTCTATCTAAAAATGTGTTTTTTCTATCTACATGACCAATGATCCATGTATATCTGTTAGAATGAAATACATTACCAGTATATTATTGAATTCATTGGCCATTTTCCCCTAAGTGACACATTCAGTGTGTCCTCCCTCTATATGTAACTCAAGATTCCATATATTAATGGCATTAAGAAAAGTATTTATACATACTTACCTGGCAGGGGAGACACCATGATCACGAAGGTGGTTTTCCCAGGGCGAGGCTCATCCATTGCACTCTGGATGTGCTGACCCCTGCGATTCCTCCAAATGTGGGAAACTCTACTGCATAATTTGTGGTAGTGGGGGGGAGGACTGCGTTTGCACTTTCCCCTGTTTAAAAAAAGAAGAAAAAAGAAAGGTATCTATATGTATTTTTAGGAAGAAATGCTGTGTCATCCAATTAAAGTAAATAACAAATACTATCTGAATCCAGTTCAGGCTGCTGTAACAAATGACCATAAACCAGGTGTCTTATAAACAACAGAAATTTATTTCTCACATTCTGGAGGCTGGTACAAGATTAAGGTGCCAGCAGACTCCTTGTCTGGTGAGAGCCTCCTTGCTGGTTCAGGGAGGGTGCCTTCTCACTGTGTTCTCACAAGGTGGAAGGGGCTAGTTAGCTCTCCAGGGTCTCTTACTAACCCCTAAAGACTTCACCTCAAGGTAATACACAATCACCTTGGGGTTAGAATTTCAACGTATGAATATGGGATGAAAGGAGGATACAAACATTCAAACCACAGCAAATAGTAAAGAATTTATAAAGATAATAGTTATTTGAGATACCAATAATCAGATGAGATGCCTTAGTTGTCAGTTATTGAAAATTTTAAATAACTTAGAATAATTCCTAAAACCTAAGCTCTATAATCATTAATTTACCCAGTGATCACAGTTCAAATTTTACTGTGTGCATGTTAGAAAATAGGCTTATCCTGTCATAAAATAAAACTTTTATTTGAATTGGTAAGAAATTTGCATTCTTGTGAACTCTGGGGTTATCATTCAGGTAATTAAAAGATTATCAACTTGGAATGATAGATCTGAAAGAGAGTGTTGTGATCAAAATCTCTGAAAAATTTTACTTCTCAATTTACTTCTTTTGGAGAGTGTTTTAACCCCTTTAGTACTATATATGTACGCATGATTGACTATGTTAATATATTCCTATGCAGAGTCGATTTTAAAATAGTTTCTGAGCAGATGGCATTATCAACAAAAATCCTTGGGTGTAGTCTGATGCGTGAAATCATTCAGGGTTACATGGCAGGATCTTTAGATTTATTTCCAGTTTGCACTATAACTTAACTCCTAACTACTCTTCTGGATGTATTGAGTAAATAATTTTTAATAAACACATTTATCTGCTTATACATTAACTTTGACCAGTAATGATTATCTCATATTTCTCCATGAACAGTAAGCCCTAGAGACTGAGCTGCAGGGTAGTTTTAAGTGCATAGTATCATTTAATATAGAGCTATTTTCAGTCTTGAAGTTCAGTTTGTTTCCTAATGATTAAGGTGCTAAGGTAACCTTTCACATAAGATAGATTGTTATCTTTTAATAGAATGCTTAAGCTGGGAGCTTTTTTACCTCTCAGATTGGCAAAGATCAAAAAGATTACTCACTGTATTGAAGAAGGCTGAGGGAAGCAGGCACTCTCATGCTTTGCTCGTGGTAGTGCAAATTTAGATAACCTTTATAAAGGGCCATTTGCCAATATTTACCAAAATTATGAAAGCGTGTACCCTTTGATCAAACAACTCCACTTCTAGGAATTTATTCTACAGATATACAAATTTCAGGTATACAAACTTAGTTGCTTGAACATTGATGCAAATTATCAGAAATGGCCAATCTATGATATATTCATACCATGCACTATCATACAATCATTAAAAAATAAGCTATTGTATTGAGAGCAAAGTTTTTGAAGGCTTTTAAAGTGAAAACCAAGATGCAGAATTATGTATAGTATATAGTTACAGTTGTGTAAAAAGAACAAAGTTGGGTAGGGGGGAGAAAACACATATTAGCCTGAATATACATCCTAGTTTGAATATATATCAAATTTCTGTTGAGGACTTCGGTGACTTACAGAGAGGTAGGGGTGGGACTAGATATGCTGGGGAGAAAGGGTAGGAAGATATATTTCACTCTATGCCCACCATATTACTGTATTATTTGTTCTAAAGTAGATTTAAACATATTCTAAAGTGAAAACAATAGCAAATAAACAGCTCTGGGAGAACAGTATCCAGGCATCAGATGCTGTCAAATGAGTAAAGTATAAAAGTCAATGGGTGTTTTGTCTCCATGATTTTTGTAGTTTCTGAATTTATAGGAAAGTTTCCTCTTTTAGCATTCTTAGTGATAAAATTATATTAGAGCAGCAGATAAGATTTAGTTGATTCACTAAAACATGCATAAAATGTATAGTTTAGTGAATTGACTGAGGTTTTTTAAAAAAAATTATTTTAAGATGGTTATAGATTCACATTTTAGTTGTTAAGAAATAATTATATAAGATAATACGCAGTTAAAAGAAACAGAGAGTTCTTTTGTGCCCTTTACAGTTTCCTGAAAATGTAACATCTTGCAAGACTATACAACATAATCAGAATATTGACATTGATAAAGCAAAGTTACAAGACAGTTCCATCACTGTAACAGTCCCTGTGTTGCCCTTTCATAAACACAACCACTTCACTCCTTCCCTCATCCTCTCCTTAACTCATAATAACCACTAACCTGTTATTCATGTTTGTTGTTTTCTTTCCAAAAATGTTACATAAGTAGAATCATATAATATGCAACCTTTCAGAATTGGCTTTTCCCACTCAGCATAATTGTCTGTAGATTCACCTAAGTTGTTGTGTTAGTAGTTTGTTTTTATTTCTGACTAGTACTCCATGATGTGGTTTTACCAGAGTTAGTTTAACCATTTACCCATTAAAATGGCATCTGGGTTGTTTCTGGTTTAGGGTTATTACGAATAAAGCTATTGTAGACACTTGTTTACAAGTTTTATGGAACATAAGTTTTCATTTCTCTAGGATAAACAGCCAAGAGTTCAATTGTTGGGTTAAATAGTTGCATGCTTTGTTTTCTAGAGAGCTGTACCATTTTACATTCTCACCAGCAATGTATGAATAATCCAGGTTCTCTGTATCAGAATCTGGTTGTCCTTATATTTTGGCCATTTTGATAAGTATATAGTGACATCTCGTAGTTCTCGTTAGAATTTCCTAATGCCTAATAATATCAAACCTCATTTCATGTGCTCATTTGCCATCCAGATACCATGTTCAGTGAAATATCCCTTTATGGCCTTTGTCCATTTGCTGAATTATTTCTGAAGTGGCTACAAGTGAAGGGATG